AAATGAATCACAATTAATCCTCCATGTTAATAAAAAAAATACTTTATCATTTCAATTATGTAGAAAAATCACTTGAAAATTTCAACACCTGTTCATGATTAAAAAAAAAAAAACTCAGAAAATTAGGAATAGATGAGAATTGCCTCAACTCAAGAAACCTACACCATCTTAGTCTGTATTCTGCTGCTATGAACAAATTACTTAAGAGAAGACTGGGTAATTTATAACAAATAAAGGATTTTTTGGGATCATGGTTCTGGAAGGGTTGGAATTCCAAGATAGAGTAGACACATCTAATAAGGGTCTTGAGCTGCCTTATAACATGGTGGAAAGGAAAGGACAAGCAAGATGGGTAGAAGAGATAAAACCCAAGAGACAGTTTTTTTTAGTAACACCCTGCTTGTGGAAGAACAAACCCACTCCCATAAGAAAGGCATTCCTCCCTCTCAATGACCTAGTCACATCTTCAAGGTCACAACCTCCCAACAGCCCCACAATAACAATCAAATTTCAGTATGGGTTTTGGAGGAGACAAACCATATTCAAACCACAGCCATGGTGAAAGAATGCCTTCCCCCAAGATCAGGAGCAAGGCAAGGATGCTTACTCTCCATATAGTGCCTATGGTTCTATCCAAGAATAATTGTAACAAAACTGTATTCGGTGTATTACAATCCAATATTCCAGTGGAAGTTCTGATCAGCACAATAGGCAATTAAATAAAAGACATATAGATTTGAGAGGCAAAAAATAGAATGTCCTCTGCTGGCAGATGACATAGTGGTCTACATAGAAAATTTATAAAAGAAATGATCCAAAAAAGAAAAAATGGTAAGTTGGATCTCATAAAAATTAGAAACTTTTCTCTGAGAAATACTCTGGTAAATAGATAAAAATACAACCTGTCCACTGGGAGAAAATATTTGCTAACTAAACACTTAACAAAGGACTCATTCTAGAAAATATAAAGATCTCTAAAAACTGAACATTTCAAAGTAAATAGTTCAGTTAGAAAATGAATGAAATACAGGAAGAGGACCCACAGACAGCAAACAAGCACACAAAAAGCTGGTTGATATCATAAGCCATCAGGGAATTGCAAATGAAGTCCAGGATGACTGTATACTTACTAAAATTGCTAAAATAATAGTGACAGTGCTCAATTCTGGCCAGAATGCAAAGAAAATGGCAAAAAAATGTAAAATGATCCAGATATTCTGAAAATAGTTTAGTAGTTTCTTTAAAATCTAAAAATATACTCACATTATGACCCACCAATGGAACTGAATATTTATTGTAGAGAAAGGAAAATTGTGTCCACAAAAAATGAGTGCATGATTATTCATAGCTTTGTTTGTAATTGCCACAACTGGATATAATTCAAATAAAAAACCTCTTGGCAGGTGTGTGGGTTCAACCTACCAGGGGATACTGCCAGGCAATATAAGGCACTCTGTGAAAATATTGCACCAACTCCAATGGAGTCTAAGGACAGTGAGCTGAATGGAAAAAAAAAAAAAAGCCAAACTCCAAACTCCAAAGGCTGTGTTTAGTGTGATTCCATTTTGAAATTTCACAGAATTGTAGCTGTAGAAGAGACATTACCAGTTGCCCGGGTTAGGAGAGGTGAAGAGAACCAGGGGGTGAGACTCTGAAGGGTGGGATGAGGAGTTCTATGGTGAAGGCAAATTCTGTGTCTGGATCGCGGTGGTGATGACACACGTCTACACATGACAAATGGCAGAACTGTACCCATACATGGTCCTAACATCACATTACCAGTTTCGATCTTACAGTGATGTAAGACCTCACCATTGGGAAAACTAGCTGGGTACCCAGGTCCTCTCAGTACTATTTTTGCAACTTCCTGTGAATCTCTATTTCCCAGCCCAAAGTTAAAAAAAATAGGTGAAGTATAATAACACCACCTTTATAAGGCTTGAAAACTGGCACAAGAAAAACCCCAAAACCCCAAACCCAAAACTATGGTGTTGGAACTTGGGATTGTGGTTCTTTCCCGTTGGGCAGAGACAAGCAGGGGGCAGAGTAGGGGATATTAGTCAGCTGTTCATCACTGTCACAAAACACCTGAGGAAAAAATTAATTGTGGCTCACAGTTCCAGAAGTTTCAGTCTGTTGTCAGCTGGCTCCACTGCTCTTTGGTCTGTGATGTGACCGACAGCATCATGGCAGAGAGAGCATGCAAAGGAGAGCTGCACACCTACCTCATGGGGACCAGGAATTAGAGACAGACAGACAGACAGAGGAAGAGGCCAGACAGGATATACCCTTCAAGGTCACACTCTCTGGTGACCTACTTCCTTCTATCAGGCCCCACCTCTTACTAGTCCTTTCAGCTCTGAATTCATCAATGGATCCATCCATTGATGACATTACAGTCGCCTTGATCCAATCTCTCAATAGCACCACCATCTGGGACCAAGCCTTCAACACATGAGCCTTCCAGGATATTTTGCCACCAAACCATATAAGATGCTTCTGGGCACAGGTTGTTGCTTTCTGCTTCTTAGTCTGGAGCCAGTCACATGGCTGTGTTCAAGTGACAGTTCATGAGACTGAGAATGTAGAACTTTGTACTTTTCTGTAGGTATGTCATATGGTGATAAAGATTCATAGTGAATTTGATGGGAAGAGCATTTGGTTTGGTACGGATGGCCTCAGAGGATGAATGGTCTGGAAGGTGGTTGAGAGCTTTCTTTTGAGAAGGGGATGAGCTGGGGAGGCATAGAGGACCTTACCTCATGACTTTACTGAATTAAAATGTCACACTACAGGTTCTGGCCTGTCTCTAGCCACAGAGACAACTCCACCCTCTGGGTCCCTCTTGGCCATGGGCTGGCTCTGCACCATTACCCACCACCTTGTGAGAATGAGGCTTTTAGACTGAAGTCTAGACAGCTGCTCTTGTGTTAGTCATTTAATCAATCACTGTGGTTTTCTCCACAATGCAAGTGCTTTCCTGGAAGAGCAGGGCTGCCAAACCCCACCCTGGGCAGAGTAGCAGGTGGGTGGGGTTTTCTTTTCTGGTCATATCGAACATATGGCTTTCTATGTCCTGAAAATAATTCCAGTCACCTAGTCTGTCCTTCACCTAACTTATCAGATCTACCTCTATCGCCACTCACAGAATCTGAGCCTTCCTCCAAGTTCCCCTCCCCAGGATGGGTGGGATGGAGAAAACATGGGCTGGGAATCTACAGACTCCAATTCAGATCCTGGGTGGCTCTGCTGATGATAAACTCCCTGACCACGGGCTAACTTCCATGTCCTCACCTCTGTAGCGGAAAGGCAGATTCATTCCTCCCATGGCTGTTATGACCTCATAAATAAAGTACTCAGTGGATATCTGCACATGGACAGAGCTGATAAGTCAGTTCCCTTCCCTGGAATTCCACTCACCTATTCCTTTCCATCTCACCCTAATGTGATCTCCAAAGACATCAGTTTTCTAAACTATTCAGCTCATTGGTGCTTATTTTACACACATTCCTATGGAGGTCAGAAATCACCCCACCATTCTTAGTCCTCTGCCCTGCCTCTTACACACAGTAGGTCCACCATGAGTGTTGATGGGGACACCAGCTGTCTTATTCCAACTTGGGCTCCCACTTTCCTGCTTGAAGATACAGATGCTTCCAGTCCACGGAAGCAGCCACATTCCTGGAGGATCTGAAGTCATAGTAGTGAAGGAAGTGTGCTTCCTTCTTCAATTCAGCATCCATCTTAGCATCCTTTGTGAGGACCCCCAGGGGCATCTGAAAGTCAGGACCATTTTTAGGTTAGTGTATGAAGCCACTTACAGGCTGGTTGAAAACTGGGTAAGTTCCACATCTGACCCATGTATCAATACACATGCCAGAGTGGCTGGAAGGAAGTAGGAACTCAGGTGTAGATCCAGGATCCACCCCATTCCATCCTTCTCTTCCTCTGAACTACAAAATCAACCATCCACTGCAGCTTCTGGACATCCTCTGTCCCTGGATCCAAATCTGTGGAGTCCCCTCCTCTGTCACATTCCACTTTCAAGTAACTTGGGGGATGGTCCTTCAGAGAGCTTGGCTAAATGCATGAGTCAAAGGGCAACTGAACATGAAGCAGACGTCCAGTGCAAGGCTGGCACAGTGGCACACTGTCATCCTAGCTATACAGAGGCTGAAGTGGGAGGATTATGGACTGAGGCCAGCCTTGGGCAAAATCACGAGACCCTATCTGAAAAATAACTAAAGCGAAAAGTGTTGGTGGCATGGCTCAAGTGGTAGAGCACCTTACTTAGCAAGCACAAGGCCCTGAATCCAACTCCAGGACTGGAAAAAATACATGAATAAAGAAAAATAGAATGCAAGACACATCTGTGTTGTCAGATTTTCTAAGCCACATCACAGAGAAACAGAATTGTATTTTACCCAAATACAGTCTCCAGTTTCCAGTGGTCTGACTTGGTTTTCTGGACTTAACAATGGCGCCACAGCCACCTGCATTCAGTAAAAGTCATACTTGCTTTTGAATCGTGCTGTTTTCCTCAGTGGGGTTGTGTGGTCTGATCCTGGTGTGATACTGGGCAGCTCCCAGGCAGCCCTGTGATCTAGAGGGGAAACAGCGGGTATGCAGTGTTGAAAGATGTGGGATTTGGTAAATTAGGTGAATTAGATGCATCTTTGACTTTTCAATTTGGGGGTTTATTGGGAATCCAATCCCATTATGAGTCAAAGCACGTCTGGATATTTGTTAAGCATCATTGTTTCCCATGTAATCCACCTGAAATTATTGATGAGCTAGCTTGCCTGTTCTGTACTACGTGTGCGGATTTCCACTCTCCATCGGTCACTTCCGGCAGCCACATTCCCAGCTCTCCCTGCTGCACCAGGGACAGTGGGGCCCCAGTCTTGCCCAGAGACTTGGGGAAGCATTTAAAGTCCATTCACGTGACTGCTTCAGCACAGCTGGTCTCACTACAGCCCATCCTGTTCTGTTTTGCCCAGAGTCAACTCCTGAGCATATCAGCAGCCCACGGGGACCTGGAAAGCGTCCGGTGCCTACTCACTGAGAAACGGGTGGAACTGCCAACAGAACCCACTGATGACAACCCAGCTGTGGTGGCGGCCCATTTTGGGCACACTGAAGTTGTACAGGAATTGTTAGAGTCCTTAGCAGGTAAATCACAGCAGGGGAGCTCCTTACCACCTCTCAGGGGACCCTCTTCCTAGGTTTCAACCAAAAATTCTCCTTTCTTCAATAAGAGATCATGAAGCCTGGGACATCTAATTGATGCTCTAGACAGAGACATGCCCACCTGCAGCTGCACCCCATCCCTGCCTCTCCCACTAGCTCACAAGGAACATCCTCACGCACCACACTTGATAAAGAATATAAACTGATGGGTGGGCACCAGTGGTTCACTCCTGTAATCCCTGCTACCTGGGAGGCTGAGATCGGGAGGACCAAGGTTCAAGGCCAGCATGGGCAAATAGTTCAGGAGACCCCATCTCCCAAATAACCAGAACAAAATGGACAGGAGGTGTGGCTTAAGTGATAGAGTGCCAAACACAAAGCCCTGAGTTCAAACCCCAGTCCCACCAAAGAAACAAACAAATTTAAAAAATACATTGATGTAGCTTGTTTTTTTTCCTTATTAGACTATTTTTAAAGCAGTTTTAGGCTTACAGAAAAGTTGATAGGAAATTACAGAATTCCCAAATGTCCCCTACGCAATTTCCTCCATGATTTAAATTTTGTATTAGTTTGCCATATCTGTTATAATTGGTAACCAATAGTGATACATGGTTACCAAAATTGATACAAGGCTATCAACACTGAAACATTGTTGACAATACAGATGCATTGTTGTCAGTACTGATACATTGTTACTGAAATCCAAATTTACTGTAGAACTTATTCTTTGCGTGTGTTCTATGAGTTTTTACAAATGTGTAACCACACACACATCCACCATTACTGCGTCATACAGAATAGGTTCACCATCCTGAGTCCCCTGTTCTGTTCGTTCCTCCCACCCACCTCCACCCTTGGCAACTGCTGATTGCTTTACTGTCTCCCCAGTTTTGCCTTTTCTAAAATGTCCTGTGATTGGAATCATGCAGTACACAGCAGTTCAGATCAGTTTCTTCCACCTTCTAATATGCATTGGCATGTCCTCCATGGGTTTTCATGACACAACAGCTCATTCTTTTTTATGACTGAATAATTCCACTGCATGGATGTGCCATGCTGTGTTGAATTGTAATTTTGCCTCTGGTGAAGTAAAGATGTCCTAATCTCCCATGGTGGCTTGGCTCAGCAATAAAGGACTGCTTCATTGCTAAGGCTACAGGCCTAACCAACCATAGTCATGGTCTCTGGGAGTTGGGGTTTTCATAGGGGGCAGAGCTGGCTTCATGCCCCTAGAAGGAACCCAGACTTGACCTCACACTGTAGAGTTGCCATCCTGAAGTTTTTCCTAATTTTAAAATCAAAGGCCCCAATTTTTTCATTTTGCATTGGACCCAACACAGGTAGCAGCCCTGTTTGGGGGTGTCCAACTGCATTTTTGAGTCAGTTGTATGCTGAGTTACTTTCAGCTGATGTCCCTCTTAGGTGTCTGGAAGCTGTGGACAGCAATCAGGGAAGAGTTAGGGTCCATAGGAAGCAGACTGGGTGAGGCAAGGGAGGGAAGGTAGGGGACTGGGTGCCCTTACAGAGCCATAGGGAACCCTCTTTTTAGGAAATCCCAAGGTTGGCTCTGTTCTAATCCCACAGAGTCTATACCAGCTGACTCAGTCACCTAATTACACACAGCTACCATTTATTGAACATTTGCCAAAATACTGAGCACCCTCAGAACTTGCGAGGCATGGAGAGGTTTTTCTTTAATTCCCCAGCCATTTAGTAGCTCTTAGCCATGAAGGGTAAACTGAGGCAGAAAAGAGTAACATTGTGCAGTGTAACATACTGAGGTTGAAGGGCTTACACAGAGGTCTAGGAGTGCCCACCAGGGGATGATCTTGATTGGGTGCAGGATTGGATCTTCAGAGGGAAGTTAACATCTGAGTGGGGCTTTCTGGGGTGAACAGGGGTTTACTTAGCAGATAAATAAGGGAAGGGCTTGGGTTGCCTGCTTTTGTAAGCAGGAACCTCAGCTGGTTTTCAGCTGCTCTTGGGACATCCTAGTTCCACTTAGTCTCCAGGTGGTTGCTGAAACTGGAGGACTCCAGACCATTGTGCAGGGCCCACAGGAAGTACACAGATGGGCACGGTGGGTGTCCCCTGGGAATTCCCGGGCTGCAGGAGAAGGTGGCCCCAGTAAGGAGAGAGGAACAGCAGAAGAGGGAACTTCTCAGACCCTCACTGAGAAGAGGAGCGATGGGGTTGGTGGGAGGTGGGAGAGGGTCCTTGGAAGTGTGTTCTGATACACTTCTGCAGTGGATCAGTGGGGAGGGGTAGGAGTATGCCAGGCTCTCTCTGAGGTTGGATTCAGGTGCAAACGATTTGTATAGGGTTTTGTGGAGGTGAGAGAGTGCCTTTTGGTTTTAGATAAAGCAGGAGTTCAGTCTTGACCTTGCCATCTACCAACCGTGGGACCTTTGGCAAGTTCCCAGCCTCTCTGTGCTTTGGCTCTTCATCTCAAAGTCATGGTTCTGAAGTACAGCAGAAGTTAGCACCATGAGGTCTGGGTACAGTGGGTCACGTCTATAATCCCAGCTACTCGGAAGGTGAAGATCAGAAGGATGGCTGTTCAAAGCCAGCCGTCAAAACCATAAGACCGTACCTGAAACAAAGAAACAAACAAAAACCTAAAGCAAAAAAGGACTGAGGGAGTGGCTCAAGGGGTAAAGCACCTGCTCAGCAAGTACAAGGCCCTGAGTTCAAATCTCAGTACCAGTAAAAGATAAAAAAATAAAATAAGGCAGCACAGTGATTGCTTGTTTATCTTACTGAGATCTTCCTGAGCTCACGTGTTGTCTGTTAACTCTCCTCGGAATCACTAATTCTGGTAGGTAATACAGCGACAAGGGGCATTTACTTAGTCTGGGCACCAGCCATGCATTAGAGTGTCCTCCCTATTCCCTGGCCAAGAGGGCAAGGCTGCCGTCTCTCCACCGCCGGTCGCTGCTGGCCCCTACATATGCCCTACACATGCCGCAACTCTGCACATGTGACCACAGTGATGCACAGAGAAGTTTCAGAAGACGAGGTCGTTTTCAAATAGCAACCAGATCAGACGACACCGCACTCTACTTATTTTGAACTTGAAGATACGGTGACACCTCAGCTCCTGTACCTTCAAGGTGCCAGTGCTATTTCATCCTGGAATTAAGCAAGTGGTTCTTTCAGAGAGTCATTCTAAATCTTTCAGGCCACAGAGTTACCTCTATTTCTTGTGGTCGAAACTTTCTTAATAACAATGATCATTTATGAAAGTAATATATATTTATCGTTTCAGGTAATCTGTGCGTTCAGAGCAGTGTTAGTGCTCTAATAATGAGTGATGAATTAGGACTTATCTCATCCAGGCACTCGATGTATATTTTGTTACGTTATCCTCACATTGGGAAGGTGGGTGTTATTAAACCCATTTCACTGATGGGTAAACCGAGGCAAAGAAATGAAAGAATTTGTTTAAAATTATGCAGCTAAATAATTTAACCTTACACTGTCTCTCTCCAAAACCCTGGTCTTGCATTTTAGGACTAAAGTCAGGGCAGAGGGGAAAAGGGGATCCAGGGATGATCAAAACTCACAGCATAGAGAGAAGACTGCAATACTGGGACTGCACCTTTTGGTTTTAGATAAAGCAGGAGTTGTCTTGACCTTGCCATTTACCAACTGTGGGACCTTTGGCAAGTTCCCATCCTCTCTGTGCTTTGGCTCTTCATCTCAAAATCACGGTTCTGAAGTATAGCACCTTCATCCTACGATCAACAGAAGTTGGCACCATGAGGGCTGGGTACAGTGGCTCACACCTGTAATCCCAGCTCCTTGGAAGGTGAAGTCTTCCTATTCATCTTTTCTTTTTTTGAATTTTTGTCCTTTCCATTTTGTCTCTTTTTCCATATGGACATTTTTTTTTCTGTCAAGGTCACACTGTATATGCCCTCATGAATATTGCTTTTCTTTACTTGGCCTCCTTTGACAAGCAGGTGGGTTTATAAAGATGTCACTTGCAACTCAGAGACAATTCTAGAAAACACCATCCACTCAACACAATCGACTTTCAGCTGGAGACAAAAGCTGGGTTTTATTAACTGTCAAAGGTCAGTGTGGGAGGCACCAGTGCCCTTCAGAGCCCTCAGTGTCCCCGTGTCCTGTTGCCCCACCAGGTCCCTGCAGTCCCCAGCGGCTGCTCAACTGGATGCTGGCCCTGGCTTGCCAGCGAGGACACCTGGGGGTCGTGAAGCTTCTAGTCCTGACACATGGGGCTGACCCAGAGAGCTACGCGGTCAGGAAGAGCGAGTTCCCTGTCATCGTGCGCCTGCCTCTCTATGCAGCCATCAAGTCAGGTGGGTCCCAGAGCCAGCCCCGCCCTGAAAACTGTCCCCTTCCCAGATGTGGGACTGTGGCTTTGTCCCCACCCCCTAACTAAGCGGGGAGATTACAAACATCTGCCCTCCCCTTCTGCCCCCTCACTCACCCTCAAAAGGGGACTTTGGTGACAGGGACCAACTGCAGCAAATGAGACCCTTGTGTGAGGCACTCTAGAGGTTAGAGTCGCACAGAAACTCTCTCTCCATCCAGGACAGATGCATGGGGAACTAGTGGCGATGTCCCCAGCACAGGTGACACCTGGATGTCCTGAGCTTTCCATTTTCCACATTAGGGAATGAAGACATTGCCATATTCTTGCTTCGCCATGGGGCCTTTTTCTGTTCCTACATCCTACTGGACAGTCCTGACCCCAGCAAGCGTCTCCTCAGAAAGTATTTCATCGAAGCCAGCGCCATGCCCAGCGGGTGTGCAGGGAAAACGGTGAGTAGTCACTGCCCATCAGGTGGGGCTCTGAAATCTGTGGACTGCAGACATGACTTTTGCAAGGTTTCCTTGGCAGTTTTCAAAATTAGTTCAATGGACCATCATTTTTAAGACTTTCTTTTTTAAATTTTCCATAATTAAATTTTAAAGTTATATAGCCAGGTGGAGTGGCTCACAGCTGTAATCCCAGCTACTCAAGAGGAGACCAGGAGGATCACAGTTCAAGGCTAGTCTGGGGAAAAAGTTAGTGAGATGTTGTAGATGATTTAATCCTACCTAAAGTTCTCAAGGGATGCTACTAAAAACCACCAGAATTAATAAGGGAAGTGGTGAGAGACAGTCTACAACATAAACCTGCAAAAGAACTCTCTTTACCAGTGACATCAAATTGGAAAATAAACTTTTGTATCTATCATCCATTCAACTGGTGACAAAAATGACCAAGAAATGAGAGGCCCAAGATCTCTATGAAGAAAATTATGAAATTCCATTAAAGAACATAAAAGTGCACAGAGTGTCCATGGGATTGTACAATGTAGAACAAGTACCTAATAATTAACTGAAAAAAAAAACCCCAGAGGAGTAGAAAAGTTGCAGTAACAGATGATAAGGCTTAAGTGAAATACTCATAATTAAAACAATATGTTATTTGTGGAAAAGAGGAGAGGCCATTGCAGCAGAACTTTGAAAAAAAAACCTAATCCTCTACAAATTCAAAACACTTACCTTTTCCAATATTTATACAACTTACTCTATGCCTTATCTTATTGTGTATTACTAGAATTTTTTTTTTTTTTGGTTATGCTGGGGTTTGAACTCAGGGCCTCAAGCTTGCTAGGCAGGTGCTCTACCACTGGAGCCATGCCCCCAGCCCTGTTTTTTGTTGGGTATTATCGAGATAGGGTCTCGACCTATTTGCCTGGGCTGACTTCGAACCATGATCCTCCTGACCTCTGCCTCCTGAGTAGCTAGGATTACAGGCATTCATCACCAGTGCCCAGCTCACTAAAAATTTTTGAAAGTTGAATAATCATGACGATAGCAGGTGCATCTAACTTGTTCCTGATTTTAAAGGTCATGGTGTCAGCAATTTACAAACATTTGCTGGAGATTTTTGTAAATAGATACTTTTCATATCTAGGTAGTTTCCATGTGTTAGTGTTTGCTTAGAGTTTTACTAGGAAAGGTTGCACAATCTTCTCAGATGTCTTTCTTTTTTTTTGCAGCTGTAGGTTTTCTATATTATTGATTTAATAAATGAAGATGATAGTTGTTGACCCAACTTAGAATGCCTGTAAAAAATACTAATTTGTTTATTTATTTAAATTTGAGCTATTGACATCTATATTTATAGATGAATTGAGTGAAATTTTCAATTTTTTGTTGTTTTCTGACATTTGATATAAGACCATTCGTGGTTCACATAATGACTTGGGGACCCTCCCATCTTACTACAATGTGGAGCTATTTGGGAGAATTATTTATGATAAAGGTTAATTAGATAGAGCAAGTTTATTTTCTGACTTCTTTTGAAGTCATTGGTCAGTTCCCTTATATACAGGTCAGGAGGTTAAATGTTAAATTCTCAGAAAATCATCCATTTCCTAGAGGTTTGGGGCTTGCCATCATGATGTTTCTTGTAACTCTTTCCTTCTGTATCTGTAGTTATATTTCTTTTTGCCTTATCATGTTGGACAATCTTACTTTTTCTCTTTCAAACTTAATCTGAACAGCCAGTGATTGGGTATTTTAGTGATCCTTTCAAAGAATTTGCTGTTTTATTTATTTTGGGGGATTTGCTTTGTTTGTGATTTCATTAATCTTACTTTGTGTATATAGGAAACCCCTCTTCATGTGTCCTTTTGTGAGTATCTTGTGGTTGGTGGTGAGGTTACAGCGTGGCTGTCACAGGAGACTCCCTGGTCTATTGTGGGCTCCAGGTTTCACTGCTCCAGCTTCTTCTGGTATTTTCTCTCTGTGTCTTGGTTTCCTCACCTGGAAAAGAGAAAGAGCAACAGAGTACCTAGGTCAGGGGGATGCTCGCTGATTAAATGTGGTAATCTCTGTAACATTCTACTAGCAGTGCCTAGGGCCCAGCATTACCTGTTACTGTGGTACTGTTGCCCTTGGCATCCTTAGGGATGAGTTCAGGATGTCCCATGATACCAAAATCTACAGATGCTCAAGTCTCTTATGTGAAATGGCATAGAATTTGCATACGACCTACGACACCCTCCTGCATCCTTTCAGTCACCTCTGGATGACTTATAATACCTAGCACAATGCAAATGCTATGGAAATGCTTATTATATATTGTTCATGGAAGCATGAGAAGAAGAAAACTCAGCACATGTTCAGTCCAGGTGCAGTTTTTTGAATAATTTCGATCCACATGCAGAACTCATAGATAGGGAGGCTGCTGCGATTCTTTTTCAGACTTCTGCTCATTTCTGTCTTTTTTTCTCTAGGTGTAGCTCATTGGCTGCATTGTTCAATGTGTGCTGCCCATTTGTACTCTCTCTATAAGAATCCTAGGATAGCTATACAGACATGAGGTGTGTGCACAAATGCACACACTTACACCTCGATGTCTGAATGTCTGTGCGTGTGAGTCTCTGTTTCCCTCTTCTACCTTTTTTTTTTATCTCATTCTTCTTGTTTCTATCTGACTACTTCACATACATGGCTTATGACTATGTGACCCACAGATACCCATTTTTATTGTATCAAAGACTATGCTAGGCTGGTTGTCGGTGGCGCACACCTGTAATCCTAGCTCCTCAAGGCAGAGATCAGGAGGATTGAGGTTCAAAGCCAACCTGGGCAAATAGTTCATGAGACCCTATCTCGAAAAAACACATCACAAAGAAAAGGCTGGTGGAGTGTCTCAAGTGGTAGAGCACCTGCCTAGCAAGCATGAGGCCCTGAGTTCAAACCCCAGTACCGCCAAGAAAAAAAAAAAAGACTAAATTAGTCCTATTGATGCCCGATGCCTTTGTCCTGGCAACTTTGTCTTCTCACTGCCACATTGCCCTTCTTATCTTTGTGTCAACCTTGACTAAGTTTTATTCAGACATTTATTTTCTTTGTCTCCTATAAACGGCATTTGGTTTTTAATTGAACATGAGTGTGCATCTTTTGAAAGAAAAATCTGTCCACCTCACATTTGTCTGAGCCCTGATGTGCCATATTGATTTATTCCTCTCCATATATTTTATTATATTTATATTTGTTGCTCTTCCTTATACCCTTTTTCCTTTCTTTTTTTGTGGCACTGGGATTTGAACTCAGAGCCTTGGGCTTGCTAGACAGGCACTCTACCACTTGAGCCACTCTGCCAGCCCTTTTTTGTGTTTGGTAGTTTTAAGATAGGGTCTTATTTCCCTCCCCACCCCCAACCCCACCCCTCCAGCCTGGACTGGCCTCAGACCATGATCCTCCTGATCTCTGCCTCCCAAGTAGCTAGAATTACAGGCATGAGCCACCAGTGCTGGTTATTTCCTTATTTTTGTTCCTTCCCTTGTTTTTAAGGATAGACTGATGTTCTACTTTCTGTACCTTGTGGCTTTCTGTGCTATGGTTGGTTTTCCCATTTATAAAGCAGGGAGAATTCTAGAACTCACCATGGAGGGCAGCTGTGCACCTAGCACAGGGCCTGGCACATGGTAAATACTCAGTGAATTTTATAAATATTATTGTTAGCCTTGCATTGCAGAAGTAAGTAATGACCGTCTATCCCTTTATGTAGTGCTTGGTGTTTTTCCAGACCTTTCTTATCTTGTTTGATCCTCAGAACTGCCTTGCAGGAAATACAATGTGTTTTGCAGATGAAAACAGTGAGGCAAAAATCCATTTGCATTATATTAAGTATTAGAATTTATCCAGAGGTGATTTAAAGAATGTGGGATGGTGTGTATAGGTTCTATGCAAACACTATACCATTTCAGATGTCCTAGGTTTCAGGTAGAACAGACAGTGTCATTTTTCTTCACACTGGAATGCATAGGAGTTTAAAAAAATTCTCCATACTCAGGCCACGCCCTCCTCTGGTTAAATCCAAATCTTGGGGTGGGACTTGGCTTCAGGAGTTTTAAAACTTCCTCAGGTGATTCCAACAAGCACCCATGGTTGAGAGCCAGCTTTGATTTTCATGGAGTGTGGTTAAAGGCAGAACTGGTGGGTGACTCTGTCTGTGATCTTTCCTTCAAAGGTGACCCCACTATGTGAGCCATGGTTGACAAAACCATGCAAGTGATGATTATATGCTGTTAATAAGAAAACAAAGAAAAGGCAAGGTTGCTTTCCCTTTCCCTGACTCTCCTGGGTCACCTCAGAAGAGGAAATGAGATTTCTGTGCAGCCTGAGTCATACGACTCCTTGGGCTTCCCCAAAACAGGTGTTACTTTTATGATTCAAGTGAATTTAAAAGGCAAGTGCCTGGGAGAGGGTGCTTCTGGCTGCCTTATGATTTCTGCCCTGTCCTTCTGTCCTGATGGCAGAAGAGTGGAGAACTGAGCAGTGCAAAGGGTCCCAATAGACAGGAACCATGACCCAGGAGCCAGAGGTAAGCTCTCCTGCAACTCCATCTGTCCCGTGGGATTGAGTTGAAGTTTCCAGTTCAGAATATTTAGGTCCTGACGGTAGATATGCAAAGAGTGCTTTGCTAACATGATACATGGCCTGAAAATGCCCTTGACTTTGCTGGCATTTGTGGCAGTGACCTTGCTGAAGTAGTCATTTCACCAGGGCACACATGACAGAGGTTGCCCCCTGCACTGGTGCAGCCCGTTATCAGGAACTCCACTGTGACAATTTAGGGTGGTTATCTGTGTGCTATCATGTTTTGTGTGTGTCTGGGCGGTGGGTGGTTTTGAATGGGATGTCACCTCTGTGAACACCACAGCAGGTGCAGGTACACCACCCCGCACATGGTCTGGGCCAGCTATCGCCTGCTTCTCAGGCTTCCAACATCCACCTCTGTGGGCAGACAGGCAGCT